CGGGCTACATCATCTCGAGTTGGAGCAATCACTCACTCGACCATTAAGCCTATGGGCTACATTACTTCGAGTTTGAATCAGTCACTCGACCATTAAGCCTACAGGCTACATTACCTCGAGTTCGAATCACTCATTCGACTACTAAGCCTACAGGCTACTCTTATTTCGAGTTCAAGCAAACTCTCACTCGACCATTAAGTCTACGGGCCACATTACTTCAGGTTCAAACAATCACTCAACTCGACTACTAATCCTATGGGCTACCTTATTCCAAATTCGATCAAATTGCCTAAAACCTTATGAAAACCTTCATAGGGCATGAATAAAACAAAATCTTCTCAAGGCAGAGAATAAAACGGAGGCGAGTCAGGAAAAGAAATGATCTTTATATATACACGAATATTTACAATGTCCGAATAAGACACTACATAAAAAAAACAAAATGAAATCTAAGGGCTAAGTTTCTTGGTTATCTACGGGGGCAGTCTCTTCTCCATCGGGATCCTCCCCGCTCTCGGACCCACTCTTACTCCCATCATTGCCATTATCATCATCATCATCACCACCATCATCATCATCGGAAGCCAAGGCTTGAGCATCGGCTTCAAGCTCTTTTGCTCTTTTTATCTTTTCGGTAAGATTGAAGCCTCGAGCATGGATCTCTTCGAGGGTCTTCCTCCGAGATCGGCATTTAGCAAGTTCGGCAACCCAATGTGCTTGAGTATTGGCGGTCTCGGCTGCCTCTCTTGCTTGTACCTGAGCAGCTTCAGCATCCGCCCGATAGACGGCCACTAATGCATCCGCATAGGAATTTGCCTTTTCGGCATCAGATTTGGCCTTGGCAAGTTTGAAGGCCAACCGAGCCTCGAGTTCCTCAATTCTTCTCGCTTGAACCGAGATTTTCTCCTTCATGCCTTGAAGTTGGCTTATAGTCAATGACAATTGGGCCCGAACAGTCTCCTTTTCTGCAGCAAGACGGTCCATGCCATCTTTACATCCCATGGTCTCCGCCCTTATTATATCAACTTCTTCACGAAGCTGCTCGATCGTCTCGAGTTTCTGTTGCAGCTGTGAGATCGAAATATTAGCCTCTGATCCTGAATCAAGCCCATGAGTTCTTAATATTATCATTACCTACTAAGTCAGGTTGGTCTGGTCTTGATGAGCCTTGGCTAACTCAGCTCGAAGGCCTTTGATTTCTTCTTTTCTTTGACCGGAAAGGAGTCTGAGGGCATTACTCTCCTCCGTATCTCGTCGGAGGTCGGCCTCGAATCGATGTAGCTCAGCTCGAGACCGAGAACATGCTTCTCGATGAACCGCCATGGCCTGCAAAGAAAGAAGAAAAGAAGTTAGAAAAGAATAGCAAGCATAAAAATAATATCAACGAAGAGAGTTAAAGCTTACCCGATTCAAAGCTTGCTGCACTTCGCAGAAAAGGCCCGACACATCACTAGGGCCAGCAACGTCCTCGACCCCAGTAAACAAATCACTGAAGGGGTCCTCCCCTTTATGAGACCGGCTCATCTCGAGGGCCCCAAAGCCTGGGCTTCCCGAATCGCCCCTTCGGAAAAGGCAGGGAGAGTGGGCGAGTCTCCGATTACTATTGCCCCAGCGACTCGCTTGGGGCGTTCTCCTCAGTTCGGAGAGCTTCAAGACCGACCCCTTCCGATATACCCACCGTTCGTTGACTTCAGTGGGAAGCATCCTCGATCTCCAATGATTTGGGGACTCTGCCCGAACCTTTCCCCGACATTTAAAGTTAGCGACACATTTAAAGTTACGTTATTATATTCCATTATACAAATATATATAAGGTGAAAGCAAAAGTGATTAGGTTCATCCGAACTTGTAATTAATAATACTCTACCTCTGCCCAGAAAAAGTATAATATGTAACTACTCTACCTCTGCCCGGGGAAGAAGTATAACCTACAAAGCTTTCGAAATGCCTAGTATAATTTTCAAAAAATATTAGAAAAATGATTTAGGGAATGTATAGTTAATGATAAGGGTAAAATAAGTAAGAAAATTTGTCTTTATCTTGATTTGCTAAAATAGACAAGTAAAAGTAAAAATATATTTTTAGTATAGTGAACAAGTAAAAGTGAACGAATGTATTATAACTTAATTAATTAAAGTGAAAATTTGGCCAAAAATAATTATTGACCTATATATACAATATAAGTTTATGTACACTATATAATTTTTGGTGAAAGATGTTTAGTCGACAACCCTTCAATGCATGTGGCTACGCCACTGATTTTGTTGCACATACTTCGACTGAAAACAATTTTTACCTCTTATATGAAGCAAAAGTTATGAGAAAATGTTTGGATTTGAAGTTTATGGATTGTGATTTCTTAATAAACTCATAGCTCATCATAGTTGTTAGGTTTACCCTAATCTTGCCCGACATTTTCAGTTAGAGCACTTGAACTTGGGCTAGTACCTAGTGAATACCTAAACTCTCCAAAAATGTTCCAATTAGACACATTTTGCGTGTGTGTTTTCCACGTTCTTTAAGCACGTTAAAGGTCTCCGAAATGTTCAATTCATTTTTTATCTTTTTCTTTTTCCATTTTTCTTCACCTCCGTTTACTTGAAGGTCGACCACCTAGCCGAAAAGTTTCATAGCCGATGGCAAGTTCTAGGCTGGCTTGCCTGTTTCTCACTTCTCCACCAAAACACCATCACCAAGAACATTCCGAAAGATCTTGGTCCTTTCAGAAATAATAATCATCCCCTTTATAGCAGAGGGATCCTACTTTAGATATAATTAAAAATACATAGTGGAAGACCCATGATAAATCAGCTTTTCCATAATTCCTGTCGGGATTCTTTCCTCTAGTAGAATTGCAACAACTCTTGTCTATGAGCTCGATATTGATTCGAGCTTGGTATCGACTCGAGTTCTCGATCTTGACTCGAGCTCGATTCTGACACGGCTCCTTGTATTGATTCGGGGTCAGTGTTGGTCGGTTTCTGTCTCATAAGCTCGATAACTTCACTTTGTATCATAGTTCGATTTGGATTCGAGCTCGACATTGATCAGTTCCTAGGGCTCGAAGCTTGGTGACCTGACTTCGGACCTCAACCTGATTATGAAGATGCTTCTTCGATTCAATGCATTACCATTTCGATCAGTTCGTATGAAGGACTAACCGATTTTTACCGTATACAGATAGTCCCTTCGTTTCTCAGGAAGGATGTAGCGAGAAACGATATGATTTCTCGACGGCTCGATCAGAAATAAGCCAACGTTTACAATGGGATCGATCATGACGCACGTGATAGCTGTCCCGTCGGTTTAGTTTTTCAAGGCATTTAATGCGTGTCAGATGATGGTTGGCCATTATCGAAATTGAATCGTCATCGCTATACCTATAAATAACCCCCTTTTTCACTTTTAATCACTTTTACATCTTCAAACTCTAAATTTTCTAACTTCTTTCTCATGCTTTCTGAATTCACTCGCAAAATTCTGTGATTTTTCTCTACAAAATCTTTCTTCAAAAACACCGCATCTCTGTTACCTCCTTCTCTTTTCAATCTTTAAGTCCAGAAATGGCGAAAACATTAAAAACCATTCCTCAGAAAGAAAAAGCTTCTTCTTCACAATCTGCCGCCGACAAAACACCGGTGGAGCCACGGCCTGAGGAGTGCGTTCCTGGGGCGTGTGTTCTTACCTCTGATTTTAAGGTCGATAAAGGCTCGTCGATTCTCGACCGATGTGAGCCAGTTTAATAGTTGAAGTTGTGTCTAAAAGAAATTCGAAGGCACTTACATATAGGAGAACATATATAATATATTCGGCTAAACATAGTCAATTCGTTTCCTAAATTTCGCCCTACTCTGTAAATGGTAATCAAATGCCTAACTAGATACAATGTCACATTATTTCCAACAATACAAGTAATCATTAATTCGAAACACCCAAAAGTAATATATAAGCGTCAGTAAGAGATTGTAAGTTAAACACCCCATTAATAATGGGCAGTTTGGTTAGCTCTTAAAAATGGAAACCAAATATCTGACTAGATTCAGCATGAACTTTGGACATTATTCCTAATAGAATTTAAGTTATACGCTAAAGTGTTTTTTTTTTTTTTGAAAATGACACTATATAGCCACTCTTAAAATAATAATCAAAAAAATATATTATTCTTGTGTATATATACATTATATATGTTATATACAAAAAATATACTAATTTTATATAATTTTTCGATTACCAAATATAAATAGTTTCTATCGCGGGCTAAAAGTGATAATACCCCTAAGTTTTTTTATGTTGAGGTAATTAACATGTGAAAGCAAGTTAGTTATTATTTTACCATTACCAATTAGTTTTTATCAATAGATTTACTTGTAATTACTTATAAGTGATCTGATTGTATAAATATTTCAATCCGTACGTAGGAGTGAGAATTTACACCATCCGGTATTTATGCCGAATCAACATATGCATATAATATATTTTTACATGTACTTTTAGAACTTAACCATGGTTAATTAATATCCATTTTTGCCACATTAAATCACTAAACTATAATAAGTTAAACATGATTTATTGTAATTTAACTCAGCCTGATGTGACTCGTTCCAATAATGCTTGTAATCAACCTAACCAAAATTTAACATATTGTTAATAAGTGATGTTACTATAATTGTACGTACATTAATAACCGGATGTTTAATTTTCTTTTAAGGTAATTTAAGTACCAAATTAGGTGACGAATTTAATACGATATTGTTTCTTCTCCGAGTATAATTTCTTTACGTAATATAGGTGCAAACTTAATAAGGTAATATAAACTTTATTGTCATACCATATTACTAATAATAGTAATACCATATTATTGTCACTTAAATTGCACTAATAATATAAACTTTCTTTATAATGCATATTACTTAAATTCTTTCCAATAATGCAAGCGTCGAGTAATAAACGTACAAGCTAGAACCCACCCTAACTCTATATATATACGTACACGTACAAGTTTCATACTTTCATTCCTGTCTCATTCTGTTTTAACATTCCATCTCTCTCCGGCATTTTTCTAGGCCATCGCCGGCAGCCAAATCCCCCCGGTGTCCGGCGTCCGGCGTCGTCAGCAACATGCAGAGGTTTGTAATAAGAAGAGCAAGATGGGTTGGAGAGGTACGAGGTGGATCACAACGTTGTTATTCTCAATTAGGCCTAGCATCCAAAAAGGACGATGATATGATCACACCTCGGATGCCTCACTTCGACTACTCTCCTCCGCCGTATGACGGGCCCACCGGCGATGAAATCATGAACAAACGGAGAGAGTTTCTTAGCCCTTCCATGTTCTACTTCTATGAAAAACCGGTGAGTAATTTATCGTTATGGTAGATTGATGATTAGTGTTAAAATATAGGAAATAAATAGTTTATATAATTAAGTGGGCCTAACTAAAAATTTGGGACCGAGATGTAATTGATTATATGTTGTTTGAACATAAAGATCACATTTTTAATGGTTTTGGTTGTGCTGGGGTTGATTATTTAATGTTATCTAGCTTAAATTCATGCATGTGTTCACTATTCCGACGCTGAAATCACAAACAAGTTGGGTTGGCATGTCATAAGCTCATTTTAGTCCAATTACGATCTTTACAAGAATTGATTATGCATATATTATACATATAAATTATTATATGCATATTCTAGCCATATACATAGATTATAAATTGATTATACATGATTATATATATAAATTATAAATTATGCATATATTATACCTCCACCGGCTATTTCTAGTTTAAGCGGTTGAGTGAGCAGCTATTTGTGTTAATTCATCAAAATAGAAAGTACTACAAGTTCTCCGATACAGGAGTCTCTATGCAAGAAAGTCTCTCTGGTTAGGCTAATTAGAGTAATCTGGCAAACTATTTCGAGGTCTGTTTATATTCATATTTGTATATATAAAGTTTCGCAAATTCAGTGTTATAATTTTAACAGACCAGTTAACTATGGTTATTACTAGTCTGAGAATTACCAGATTGAGTATTCTTTTATTTTTGACATTATTCACTGTATATTGGGATGACTGTGGTTATTATATATGTGCAGCTTAATCTGGTACACGGCAAGATGCAATACTTATATGACGACAATGGACGTAGATATGTTGATGCATTTGGAGGAATTGCAACTGTATCTTGTGGACACTGCCACCCTGATGTCGTAGAAGCAATCATAAATCAAACCAAACGCTTACAGCACTCCACCATCTTATACCTTAATCACACAATCACTGATTTTGCTGAGGCACTTGCTTCTAAGTTGCCTGGTGATCTCAAGGTATAGACTTCCTTAGTATTTGGCTTATTATCTAAGCACCAAGTTATGTCTCCAGTGTTTAACTTCTATATACGGACAATTTAAAAAGGTTTTTACACAATCAGGTCAGATAACTATAAATAACTACTTAGCAGGTTATTTGCTATAACAGATCTTTAGATAAAGCAATTTCTGCAATGTGATCGTGACAGATTATTACCTTTTCAGGTTGTGTTCTTTACTAATTCTGGGACTGAAGCAAATGAGTTAGCAATGATGATGGCAAGACTATACACGGGTCGTCATGATATCATCTCTCTTAGGAATGCTTACCATGGAAATGCAGCTGCCACTATGGGCACCACTGGGCAAAGCATATGGAAATTCAATGTAGTACAGGTACAACTTCTTATTCTGCATATTGCTATTCCTCTGTGTCGGCTTTATGAATTACCATCAAGATGTCCAATGCAGAACAAATTTTCTTGACCATTTTAATGCGAAAAGATGACATCCCTGTTATGTATGCAACCATCTATGTTAGTTAACAAATGACTATTATAAAGTTCAGGACAGACTGTTATTTTACTTGGTGTGAGATATAAATGTTAGCCTTATTATGTTGATTTCTCCTTTTGTTAGGTCTGATATTTAGTGGAATTGTAAAGGTTGTTCCTATCCATTCTAAAGGTGTATATATGATTATCTATAATACTATCAGGAAACATGCAATAGTGCTATCTAGTGATAGTATAGGATGGTGCTATAATCTACAAAGCATTGTTATTTTTGTTACTCTTGTATCTTATTCACTTGCCAGTTACTTTGGTGATCAGAGTGGAGTGCATCATGCCATAAACCCTGACCCATACAGAGGAGTTTTTGGTTCTGATGGTGAGAAGTATGCGAAGGATGTTGACGATCTTATCCAATTTGGAACATCTGGAAAAGTTTCTGCTTTTATGTCTGAATCCATACAGGTAGTCATCCCTCACTGATATCAACTTGTCCATCTAAATTAAATACAACATTGCGTGTATCATTCTAAGATGTTCCTTTTAAGTGTAGGGAGTTGGTGGAATAGTTGAATTGGCTCCAGGTTACTTGCCTGCTGTATACAACATTATACGAAAAGCGGGAGGTCTTTGTATCGCAGATGAAGTTCAAGCAGGATTTGCTCGCACTGGGAGCAATTTCTGGGGATTTGAGAACCAAGAAGTGGTTCCTGACATAGTGACAATGGCAAAAGTCAGTCTCTTCCCTAACCTCTCTTTTCTTTATGCGTGTGTGCGCGCACCTTACTGATGATATATTTCGATGACTTATTTTCTGAATCTCCGATAATGCTATACTTGGTGCTAAAAAAAGGCATTCATCTCTTGATTATGATTTTGCAAAAAAAAATAACTTTTTAATAATGTTCTTGTTAATTGTTATATCCAGGGCATTGGAAATGGAATACCACTTGGGGCTGTAGTAACAACTCCTGAGATAGCACAAGTCTTGACTCATCATAATTACTTCAACACATTTGGTGGAAACCCTGTGTGTACCGCTGCTGGACTTGCTGTTCTTAGAGTGATTGAAAAAGAAAAGCTTCAAGAAAATGCTCGTGTTGTTGGTTCCTACTTGAAAGAGCGCCTTTTGGCTATCAAAGATAAGTATGAAAGTAAGATTTTTCTTTTCTTCTTTCACCCTTATACTCAACAGGAAGATATCAAATCTCTCTTTTTAAGGCAACTCTGCATTTCTATCATTGACAATTTCACTTGATTCTAGCTTCTGTACTAATATTTGTGCAGTTGTTAGTGATGTGAGGCCAGGAGGGTAAAAGGACTAATACTCCGCATTTCTATTATTGTCATTTTTGTTTGATTCTGGCTTCTGTAATATTCTTACATAGAGTCGGATCTTAGGAAGATATCCATTGTTTTTAGCTTGAACTATGTATAGATATCCAAAAATAAAGTAGGAACTCATTCTCTTTGTCTTGAACTATGTATAGATATGCAAAACAAAATTCAAATGTATACATATAATAAGATCACACTCATTCTGAATCCACTAACTCAAGATCCTATGTTCTTATATTAACAAAAGCATCAACATTGACATTTATGCAGTTGTTGGTGATGTGAGGGGAAAAGGACTGATGCTTGGCGTTGAACTAGTTACTGACAGCGAACTGAAAACTCCTGCAAGAGCTGAAACTCTGCATATCATGGACAAGATAAAAGGTAAATTTATTCTTGAATATTCATCCTTTTGACATGGCTTTAGTCAAATCTTACAGTAGTAACTAAGTTCAACTAATTTTTGGCTTGAAGATATGGGAGTATTAGTTGGCAAGGGTGGATTCTATGGAAATGTCTTCAGAATTACACCTCCACTATGTTTCACTAAAGAAGATGCAGGTAAAGGAATAAGACACATTTTTACTCAATTCAAGCGATCACTTCTCCTTTTCTCCTTTATTCCAACTCAATAAGTTTCAACAATCGAATGCCTATAGGTTTTCTCTGTGATTACAAGTTGAGGGCTCTTACTATATCTAAAAATTTGATTGCAGATTTTCTAGCTGATGTCATGGATTGTGCACTGTCAAAGATATAAGGATTCCGTCCAAGATACTACACTTTAATTTAATAGCTAGGCTGTTTATATTTTCCCTTATAACCATATAATGGTTAGATATCTTAATGTCATAGTTAAATGAAACTTATATTATTATATACAGCTTTTATATTCTTATGTCAGTTGCAAATTAACAACCAAATGTATCTGTATGGACTGATTCAATACGTACAGTATCTCGTGATCATATAATGAGTCAACAACTCGTTGTCTCTGGACATCCTGTCTTCTTTATCTTTCTGCGCCAACACACCATCTTGTCACCTGCAATCATATCTCCTACAACCCTCAATTATATACCAAAAGAAAAGGAGAGACACGAAAGATAATATTAGCAAGACAATGTAACTAAGATATTGACTCAAAACCAACATTAACTAATACTCAATTCTCATGGTTTAAGTTTAAACATTGGATTACTTTGAAAATTTTGTTTCAAGATAGACGCGACTCAGACTGTTATTGTCTGCTTTATCTTTACTTACTGATGAGTCAGCAATTAGTTGCCAAAGGCATCAATATATCTGCAAGGATATATTATCAAACAGTGCAAATACTGAACATGGAAGACTAGGCAAAGTCTTTCTCTACATTTCCCTCTAATGATACAAATATACAATGCCAAGAGTTAGAAGTAGAGAAGGGCACTATAGTCGCAAAAACAATGATTTAATGGACCTTATACAAGAGTGGTATCAAGTTGAATACCATCATCTATAATTAGTTAATAAACATGATGATAGACAATTTTAGATTATACTATAATTTTATGCGACTGTTATTTCAAAAAGCCATTTGAAAAGGACATTACATAATGATATGCTAAGATGGAATGCAACGTGGATACACACATACATATATGATAGGCGTGCCATGCCATATCACCGTCACCTAAAAGTGACAATTTTAGATGGCATGGCAGCCACATCGCATACACGTGGATGTTGAGGTTTGACAAATATACGATGATTTTTCGATTCATCGCTTAATATTTTTAAATTTTATTTTTACACGTATAAAATATTTATTAATGATAATGATTTTCTAACTATCATATCATGTTTTCTTTTTTGTTATTTATTCTTTGTGAATTCTGGAACTAAGACGACGTTATAATTTTGAAAAAACTTTAATTTGGTATTTTTGATATTCAACTTCTTAAAAATTGTACCAAAATTAAATCTGATATGGTTCACACTTCACATTTCCTTCTCTGATTTTGATTTTTATTTAATTTTGATTCAATTGGTTGATTCGATAATTCATTTTTATTTAAACTAAATAAAGAATACGCTCCTTGAAAATTTTAATTAAAAGTAAAGAAATGGTACTACATTGCTTAAGTAGTGAATGGAATGTGAAATATATATATATATATATTCCCTATTTTTTAACGTTTCTCTTCTTTGCATAAGAAAAACCTAACTGATGTAAACTAAGAGTCCACCAAACTATATAGAGAATCTGGTTCTCTATCAGTTTTCACATAACACATACACACAACAGTAAGTAAATGACACAATAGTATTTTACTTGAAAAACTTTCAACTCACGGGATTAAAAACTATGACCTACACTCGTAAGATTTCAACTTCACTCACCGAGCAAACTTTAGATTACAACCTATTGTAACCTAGGAATTAGGATCCAAAACTGCCTCGTAGTAGTTTAGAGAGAGAAAAAACAAACCTCTCTCCACTCTCTAACCAAATATCACTGACGTGGCCACATCCCCACCCCAGGCAGAGGATCCATCCTCCAAAATCACACCGGAACCACCGGACCCCCTATGGAAGCCTCCCAATTTGAGATGGAAGAGGACACCTCTCAAACAAACTCTTTCAAAGAGATCCTACTGGAAAGGAATCTGATGCCCTACTTCATATGAACTAACTCACTCCCCTCCCATGTTCGAATTAAATGCGGGGAATATCCCCATCCCTTTGTCAAAGGAGGACAAGAACAGGTTATACCTCCCCTGGAGATACTCCTAATAGTGAAACTATTTGGGAGGAAAATTCTCCACCACTTACTGCAAGCAAAGCTTTCATATCTTTGGAAGCCCATTGAACCCCTAACACTAATCGACCTGAGTTGGGACTTCTTCATCATCAAATTCAACCTAGAAGAGAGCATGAACAAAGTCCTGGCAGAGGGACCCCGATTGGTGATGGTCCACTTCCTATCTATACGAAAATGGGAACCAAACTTTATCCCGGAATCCAAGCTTGCTATTATAGCAATTTGGATCAGAATCCCACAACTCTCGACGGAGTTCTATGATAGGGCGATCCTCGAGCAAGTGGGAAATAGGGTTGGCAAATTACTGAAAATAGATACATGTACCTCCTCCACCCTTAGGGGGAGGTATGCTAGGATATGTGTCCAAGTTCTATTAGACATCCTCATCACCACTGATGTCACCATCGGCACCCACAATCAACCCATCCTATATGAGAGGGAAGGGATTCTCTGCAAGGGATGTGGGAGAATTGATCATACGCTACGCTACTGCCCATTCACCCCCAAGGCCAATGAAACCAACAGTTTAGTTAACTCAAATCCTACAACCACAAATGTTGGTACAGTCCCTGGCGAAGACTCTTTGTGGTAAATGATCTCATTCAAGTGGAACAAAAAAGGAACCCATAAAGGAAATCGCTTACAAAGGCCAGTCGGAGCAACATCGGAGCAGCCCACGACCCAGATAAAGCGGTACAGTAAAGCCACAGGTACGTTCCTTGAGCTGGTTGCCACCACCACTAGCGGCAGTAGCACTAAAGCCCACGAACATCTGATCCCAGGGGAACACTTAGGCTCTATGGGGTGGGCTACGGAGAACCAACAAGACTTGAGGTCTTTAAGGCCCAACTCTGATAAAGTCTCATCTTTACAAGTGGGCCAAGTCAAAACAAGAGAAGCCCCACAAAGAAAGTTGACTAGGCTGAAACGGCATCTGCCTAAGTCAGGCACAATCCCAAAAGATGTCATTTTAGGGAATATCTCCATTCCCAAAAATTCAATTACAATCTACAAAAATGGGATTGAAGATTTCAACCCCCCCCCCCC